TATCATGGCCCACCAAATCAATACGCAAAAGTCGCCATTGTCGCACCACCAAGATGGAGAGAAAGAATTGGTTATGTTGCTATTGGGAAAAATACTCTGCTATACTGCTTTCACAATCAAATGATCCTCCTAAACTGTAAACATTAGTCGCTAAGTGAGGCTTTACAACCCGGGTTTAGTATGAACTCGTGTACTACCATGTGTGTGGTAATCGGTATGTGAGTGTTGGGTAGGTTGGATAATAGTTCAAATGAAACCAGTCTGGACCCTGCTTACTCTAATATGTGTAATACAATAAATTAATTTTACTAAAGTTAGCAGCCCAATAATAACCAAGAAAATTAGGATAATTCCCAACCCGCCAGCATCTTTAAGGAACGCTCCCAGGTATAGTTTTTTATCTAGGATTAGAATTGTTCCATAATAAAATGAAGAGATTAGTCTAATCTACTATTTAAATGTTTTCATGGGGATAAATATGGGGAATCATCTGAACACCAAAGAATCTATAGGTACGGACTGTCATTTTAACTATATTAGAAAGGCGAGCCTGCTAATAAGTAATCTGTAAATGTTGCCCATTTCCCAAGATTCTTGTTTTTGTTTGTTCTAATAATGACTTAAAGTTGTGTATTCTCCAACACAAAAATTAAAAAAGAAAAAACCAACCCCCCCCCAACCCCACCCCCCCAATAATCCCATAACAAAACAAAACACCATGACTTAAAGTTGTGTTTCTCCCCAAATTCTCCATCTCATGGGTAACTTTAATTCCTAGATATGTAAACATATCACGTTCTATTTTGAACGGAAATTTGGAGTAATCTCCGTTTGTGCGGTCAATTGGAAAAAGCAGGCTCTTTGAGTAGTTCAATTTGTAGCCTGAGAGGTGTCTAAAGTTTTCTAGCATCAACAATAGTTTTGGTAATCGATAACTGTCGGGTTGGATATATACAAAAGCAGGTCAACCGAATATAGCGCCACTTTTAATGGACCTTTGCCGCCACGGGAGATACCAGTAATAGCCCTCTTCCTGCTCTAAAGGCTATAGTGAGGGGTTCGACACGTAGATCGAAGCAGAATATGGGAGAGGACGCAGCCCTGTCTACAAGACCTGG